AATGAGTCAGATAGTTTTCGTACCAACTTTACTCACCTACCTTAAAGGCACCGTTCACGATAAAAAAGTTATTGAGTTTTTACCTTATTAATACTCAGCGGCCCCCATGGGTAGTAGAAGGGACCCTCTCGCTCCCCCAATCTCGACGTCCAGGGCATAGTGTCAGCCCCGTTTGCCGTAGTTCGCGTTCGCGCCCCTCGATCGGTGTCACGTTAGACCAGTGTCGAGACAAAACAGATTGCTATTATTGGTTCTAGGACCCACGCACAATCAGCTAATCGCCGAGTGATGAGGCGATGTTTTCCTCTCATTCTTCTTTCCTCTGTTTTTCTTTTTGCTGCCGCGATCCCTTGTTTAATTTCTCACTCCTAGAGGCTGAAGAAGGTGAGCTACTTTTGCTGTTACTAGGGTTTTTTTGTTTATTTATGCTTATAAGTGAATGAATTTCTGCTTGCCATTGTCTGTTCTTCGCACCAGGACCCACACGCGCGCAGTGAAACACACTATTTAGCTCGTCCGGACGCCCCACCCTTCTTCATTTTTCTGGTTTCATTCACGTCCAGCCCCCTTTTTAACAATTTTTCGAAGCCTTTTTTCACCTTGGAAACACCGATGCACGCAGTTTCTTCACCTCAGTCGCACTAGTTTCGATCTTGTCTTCCATTTATTATCATAATCTGGATTACCCAAAATTATCGTGAACGGTGCCTTTAAATCGTGTGCAGAATTTCATCCAAAAATAACTTCACCATGTTTATGAGAACGTTTATTACGAAATAGTTCCGATCACAGTACACTCGTTCATGATAATGGAACATTTATCGCTACCTAGCCACAAATTGCACATATCACGGTTGAATTCACTGTAAAACATGGGTAAGTACAAAAAAGTAAGTGGAAGTAGACCGTTATCGTACCCATTCACTTTAAGGAGAAAAGGAGGTATTCATCGTGGTAATGAGTTGAAAACACCCATGTAAAGTATTATGGAATATCAAATAATGGACTCGAGGTAAGTATTGGGTAAGTGTGCCGTCGAGCACAACGGCGTAACAAATTGTTTTTACAAAATGTTTTAATAAACTATATTCCTTGCCTATCTGTTCGCCTATATCAGTGTTCCGTGAAATAAACGAAATAAAACATTCAAGTAATGTCCGCACGTTCTTAAAAGATAAAACGAGGCAATAAATAAGGTTTGGGAGTACGATTCACAGGTGCTTGTACGACCATGTGGGGTGGATAGGGTTGCATACCCACTGGGTAGGCTGGGTAGCACACTGGTGCTCCTTGAACTGGAGCCGCATGTTGTGAATGCCTAGAAAGCGACGTTGCTGTAGTTGATGTAGGTTCCCTGTCCGATTCATCGTGTTCTGGTTGAGTAAGCGTAGGCACGCTGGAGACTGGTGTCGTACTGTAGACGATTGGATATGGTGGCGGTATGGGAAAAATAGGATACATCACTAATTCTTGCCCTGAAAAGCAGTTTTTGAATTCAAATTATTTGCTCACTGCAAAAGCTATCCACAGCTGAGAATTCCCTTGACAGCAACGTGGATTAGTGCGTAGTGGCTCGTTGTCAAATGCAACCGCTAATCGCCCTTATTGCTTTTACAGCCGATGCAGCACGTCAACACCTTATGTCCGGTTGTGGTACTACGATGTAGCAGTAAAGGATTTTCTATCGCCTGTTCTATATATGTAACGGATGAGAGCGCAGAGACCTAATTGCGAAGAGTAAGCGACCCACCATTAGGAAGATTCCGCTGCAAAAAATGGAGTCTGATCATGATGCAACACCAAACCAGAGCTACTCCAATCAGAAACACTAGTATTATGATGACGATGATTTCGGCGACACTCTATAAAAGAAATGCAACCTTCGCACTGCAAGAATCCTTACTATCTTTACTACATGTAGAGCGCTCGCGTCTGATTGTCTCTTTATTCGATGTCACCCGCTAAAGTACCTGCGGATGTTTTCGGCTTGCGGATGAGCAGTCGTGGACATGCGATGCATGCGTTTCCATGCATAGCTCAACTGGCATGTTAATAGCTCACTGTTATGCAGACTGCGCAATGAAGAACCAGTCATGATTCAGTCGGGTCTAACCTAAGGCTTCACTGCGAACTCCGTTCTTATGCCCCGAGCTTTCTGCTCACGTAGCACTTTCCTTAAACCCTACAGAGGAGCGGCGACGCCAACAGGTGTGATATGAGCGCGCCTTGTCTAGCAAGGGGGTGAATTACTCGATGAAGAACTTCAGAAGTGAAGTTCTCAAAAAACAGCCACTTCTAGCCTCGAGGGAATGGAGGAACCTCACGGGCCAGATCTGAGTTGAAAGGGAATTAAGGGGTTGAAAGGGGAAAGGAAATAGAGTACACAAAATGGCCAGCTGATTCTACTAACCTATTGTGCTTCAAATTTGGACTCCAATAATAGGCGCTAAATTCGTCAAAACGCCTATGTATGAGTTTGCATCGCAGTTTGCCGCAAGCAGCTCAAATCGCACGAATGTTCAGACAGCCACAGTTGAAGAGTTGATCAAAAAATGAAAGAGGAAACGAGGAGACATTTTCGAAATACTCGGGAAAATGTTGAGGATTTTTTCCCTGTTTTGTATCGATATCGATGGCTGTGCCCACATGAAGGGGATATAGGCACATGATTACAAAAAAAAAATTCTCCGAGCTCCGAAATATGTATAAGCATAAGATGGTCGCTCAGAAAACAGGTAGGGTAGCTTGTCGGAGCTGTCAGAACTATCAATGATTGAGGAACTGTCGTGCAAATTACAGAGTATTACAGATGATTAGTGAATTGAAAAGATAACCTACTAGTGGGTCCAGAGCGTCAGACGATCTCCCAATTAAGACATAACTTTTCAGGCATGTCACACATGGAAAATAGCTTACAATGTGCTCTCCTGAGTATCCAGGGATAGAAAACATGGCGTCCGCCGCTCAAATGACTTGCCGGTAGTAAAATGAAACATCAACCAATGTTGCAGTTTTGTGAAAAACCTTCAATGATACTGAGTAAGAGTTAAATAATGGAAACAGTCGTCTCCCTACCAGAACCATTTTTTCAGGAGCAAGAGATAGAGTTCCTTTGATAGCTACACTCTTCTCTCCAGGGAACCTGCCAATAGAGAAGCGTTCAAGTTTATTCAATATCATTTTTCCGGGGTAATATTTAGCTATTGAGGGTAGTTGGCGGTTCATCCTCTACTTTTCTAGATTTACTTGTGACTAAGTTCTTCATTTTGACAGCATTCGCATCGCCTTGATTATGCCATTCTATCTGTGCCTAATTCGGAATTCTGAGCTAAATGTGGCTTTATTAGTTTTGATGTTATGGAAGTATGCTACTTCTTTAAGTGCAATTTTTGCAATGAAGAATGCCCAGAATCGTATTGTAATGGGATTGGTCTAAATATAAACAAGGTAATGGTAATGATGGGACTAGGTGGGACTAAGAGTATTTGTTGATCCTTGTACCAACGCTTATGTATGTAGGTAGATCCGTTTTCTCCACGCACGGGGTTCAATGAACTTCGGCATGATTGTAGGTCGATATGATTTCGTATTGAACTTTCACGAGTTTGTCATTAAACTTTATTGACAAACGCTATGACTACACCGCCTCCCTCAGAGCCCATGATTCAAACAATTCGTGCATATCAGAACATACGCCTCTGCAGCCCTACTAAAGTTCAAGACCTCGTAGGGCACAGGGACACCAGGCCACAGCGCAAAGAATGCACTGTAATGATGTGAGTTCTTGCCTTCGGGTTTTCGGACAAAGGAGTTGGGCCTCCGAGCTCCTCGATCTCGATGCTTTGGATTTTGCTGTTGGGTCGATTCTGGAGCAAGAAGACTGCACTTTCAAACGCATGTCATTGAATTCTCTGAAAAAGCTCTCTTGTAAAAGGGTGGGATGGAATTTCGCCGGAAGTGAACTTCCGAAAGAGTTTGGTCGCTTGCATTAGGGCGAAAGGTGTTCATTCTGAATGCGGGATGTGATATGTTGCTTACAATTTAAGTGATGATTGTATAGAAGTGGATGTTTCCTATTTGGTTTTATTTGTATAAATTGAATGTTAGTTTTCTGTGTTACACTCCATGTGGGTCGCCCTGTATACCAGGAGGAACAAAAAACTCACGGACTTTGACTGAATCAAGAGTTACCTTAACATTCTTATAAATACCAGTCGTGTCGTCCGGCTTATGCCGACCTAATTCGTTACTTTTACAAAGTAGTCAGATAATGCACTTAGGTGGAGGGCTTCGCTTTTGTTTGACACTAATTGCTTGAGTGTAGAGAAGGATGGGTAGTCGACCTTGACTGTGCTTCGAGTAGGTCTATACGGAAGTACTAGTTACCTAAGCCTCAGGAGCAGAGAGGAGGAGGGGAGC